GCCCTGCTCCTGGGACACTGATACAGCAAATCCTGCAGCCTCTGCTGGGCTTGGTCTGGGATGACATTTACTGAGTGGAAATCTCATGGAAAACAACTTCTGAAATTGTCTCTTGTTGGGATTTCTATGCTTTTAAGATGATCTACTCGGGTCCCTTTTACAAATGCTTCCCCAGTGTCACCTGATTTCACTGTCACTGCCTTCAGAGTGACAGAAAGGATCTGTGTTTGAGAGGAAACATCTTGCACTTCCAGCTTGAATGTGACATGATCCCCCGTGATGGCTTTGATGGGATTTTCCTTTCCATCACTTAGAATTCCATCAGGAAAGTCCTTCAAGCCAGTGTTGTGCTCAGCAGGCATTTTGAGAGAGGCTGGCAATCAGGTATTCAGTTCCAATTACTGTACAAAATGAAATTATCAAGAAATTATTAAATTCTTGGTTATAAGTCTCCTAACTACTATGCTGCAGCCCATGGACAACCTTGGAAAAAGGAGAATTTGGATGTTTTGCTGTTCCATTTGTCATGACCTGGGGCTTACAGACCCTGTATCATCCATAACTTGGTCAGCACAAATGCTCTGACAAGCTCAGAGGGGTTCTGCACGTCCCTGGGTACAGGCAGTGCATGAGGCAGGCACAGCCACGGATTTCTGCAAGATTTGTACTTGGATTTTAAGGGAAAATGCTGTTACTGAGCTGCCACCAGAACCTGGCTCCAGGAACTCACTGGTTCTGGCAGAGTTCACCCAAAATACACAGGGGTGTGCTGGGGTGGGGTGCTTCCCTTCCTGCTGTCAGGGAATTTGTTTTCAGCTGGGAAAGATTCATTAATTGTGGTGGTTTATTGTAGAAGGGAGGGGATTGAGCCAGAAGAGATCTAGTGCAGAAGGTATTTTCCTTTTGGATGGCTGCTGTGGGGTTTAATGCTTTGTTGTATCTGGATGTGTTTGGAATATCTTGCGTTCATTGAGCTGCACATTTTCCAGATACTCAGCACAGAAAATTGCCTTTCCACTTTCAGCCTGCTTCCTAAAGGTCCCTCAGAGGATGCAAAGGCCCCTGGCTCCCAGATTTCACCAGTACCTGAAGCTAAAGTCACCTGATGAGATTGAGGGCATCTGCCAGGGGTGTGATGGTGTTCACAGGGGTCTTATGTTGAAGGAAGAGACAGAGATCTGACTCCATGTTTCAGAAGGCTTGATTTATTATTTTATGATATATATTACATTAAAACTATACTAAAAGATTAGAAGAAAAGGTTTCATCTCAGAAGGCTGGCTAAGCTAAGAATAGAAAGGAAAGAATGATAACAAAGGCTTGTGTCTCAGACTTTCTGTCTGAGCCAGCTGACTGTGACTGGCCATTAATTGGAAACATCCAACATGGGCCAATGACAGATGCACCTGTTGCATTCCACAGCAGCAGATAATCAATGTTTACATTTTGTTCCTGAGGCCTCTCAGCTTCTCAGGAGGAAAAAATCCTAAGGAAAGGATTTTCATGAAAAGATGTCTGCGACACCAGGGGTGTGGGGCTGCCATGCCCCCTGTAATTAGTTCAAAATGCTTTTCCTCAGCACAGCCTGTGGGGTGTGGAGGAGTGGCAGCTCCCACCCAGGGGACACTGCTGCTGTGAGCGCTGCTGAACACTCCCACACCAAGGTGACCTCAGAGCCCAGCTGCTTCTTCCACCCTCTCCTCCTTCTCACACTGCAAACTCTGTCCCTGCTCTTCCTGGAGGTTGCAGTGGTTGAAGGGTTCAGTCCTTCAACCTCAATTTCTGAGCAGCCCCTGCAGATGTTTCCAAGGCTTGCAGAGGGGCAGCTGCTCTGGAGGTGACCCTCCATCCACCCTCCTCTCCCCAGTGCCTGGGCTGACTTTGGCTCTCCAGCTTTGGTATTAAAAAGCCTTTCAGATGTGTGTGTGGTCCCTATAAAAATAAATCTCCAAAGGAAACAAATGTTATGTGGTGAAAGTCTGCCAAGTCCCCATTGCTCGTTAGCTTGTAGTATTCAGTAGGAGGAACTTTATATCCTGATATAGGATAACTCTCTGATGAGCTCTCAGCTCTTTTGAAGATTCAGATTTGAAGGATGTTGCTCTATAGGGTTAAGATTGAGACACTGACTTGATGGGATTTCAGCTGTGAGTGCCTTGGCACCCTTGTCAGACCCCTGAAATAACAATTTGTCATTTCAGAGAGTTTTGGTGTTTAAGTTACATCAAGCAGAGCTTGGACAGCAGTGATCAGGGATGACAATTTCCAAACAGTCCAGAACCACAGAGGTTAAAGTAAGAAATGTAACTAAACATTCCAAATAGACTGACATGGAGATGGCGATCTAAGACTTCCTTCAAACCCAGAGATTATTTGATTTTTCTGTATTTCTGTGGTACAGTCAGACCTTGGCTGCTTATCACCCTACCTTATCTCCTGTTCAGACAATGTGCTGTGCCATCAGAGGCAATTTTTATACAAGTCAGGAAGTTGCATAGCAAAGCAACACAGACACAGAGTATTTGAGACTGCAGCTCCTAGTGATGCTAAAACCTGGATTTTCTAGGTGTATGTGAAGAAGCTGGCACACAGCATCACACAACCCCTGTCACCTGCAGTCTGTCCCTTTCCAAAGTGTCACAGTTGCTCAGCAATGTCAACAAACATGTATTTAGACGGATTTAGTGACACAAGCAAAAGTCTAAATATTACCTTCCTGGAGGAAAGATGATTCACCTGATTTGAAGTAGATAATTTAATGGGAAGAGCTAAATTTATCTTTCCTTTGCAGCTGGATGAAATTATTGATGGGAAGTGGAATTTTCTTTCCAATTCTCAATCACTCACGCTGCCTAAAATTGTTTAGAGTGTGATGTCTCAGAGGGTGAGTCTCTTCTGATGTAAATATGTTTTGACTGTCATTAACTCCTTAAGGCCAGGGAAGAAGCTCTGAAGAAGAAGTGAAGTCAGGAGCAGGCCCTTGCTTTCCTCAAGGAACTGCTGCTGATTTCTGGGCTGATGTCTGTGGTCTGGGGTGATTCTGTTCTCACTTGGAGAGAAGCAAATATGGTGTGATTTCACTGGGGACATGTGAAATCAGTCTGGCTCCAGGGCTCTTCACCTCTGATGGTGCTCTGGCTTGTGAGATCCTCCTGGTCTTGTGGAGGGTTTAAAGGAGGGGTTCTGGAAGACTAGGGGCTGTTCAGGAGGAACTCGAGGTTTTATTCAAGATGAACGTTACCATGATTTGCTGTAGAAACCTTATCCTTTGCTCAGGGACAAATCCCAGTTCTCTTGTTGGAGTAATTAGTTTAAAATGCTTTTCAAAGGAAGTGCCTGTGCTTCACAAAGCTCCTGTCCCTGTCCTGAGCAGAGGTGTCCATGCAGACACACTCATCTCACAGCAGTTATGGGCTGGGGTGCAGAAAGAAGAGCCTTCTGTCAATGGTGCGTGGCACCCTTTTCTCCCCTCAGAACTTCCCTCACAAGTTAAATTTGGGGAATTGGCACATTATGGTACAATTCCACCTGGGTCTGCATCATCCTGCCTGGTTACTTTGGTGTTGTACCTGGATCCTGAGCCATCATCACAAAAATCTTCCTCTTCTCTGTCAAAGCTGTGTGTGCCACTGAAGGCTGAATGAAGACTCTCCTCTATTCTTGCTGCTGCTGTACTTGGCACATGCTGAATGATTTATATTTTTGGCAACTTTTTAAAGCACAGGAAGATTTATATTTACAGCAGTATTGTGTTAAAGGAAAGAATTGTTAATTCTGGACAGATTAAGTTCATGGTGATGAGCAGCCAGGAATTATCTAATTCAGAAAATAGGACCAAATGGGAAGGACAAGGTTTGAAGTCCCACATACCCCTTACTGAAATGTACCCTGGAGAGGACAGACCCTGTTCTTCCTCTCAAGGGCTGATTCCTGGGGGAGGAGAGCAGCTCTGTCTCCTCTGCAGTGATCTGACCACGCACACAAGGGAGCAGCCAAAAGCCCCAGCAGAGGATGTGTGGGAGCCTTTGAATAAAAGGCTGGTTTCAGAGAATAAGAAACTTTTTACAAATGTCATGTGTGAAAGTTGCTGGCAGACAGAGAGGAGCTCTCAGTGGGTTTGTGTCAGTGTTGCCTGGACTATCATGCACAGGGCAGACAAAGCTGGAATAAATACCAACTCCTCTGTGTAAATGTGATACTGCTGTGATGTGCCAAAATGACAACATCTGATGTTTTCACTCGAAACAGACGCAGTGTTGTTAGGAAAGGTTTCCTTCTACAGATGGGAAAACTCTCCCATTTCCAAATCCCATTCTTTTCTAATGTAAAGATGAGGCCAGCACCAGTGGGGTTAGGAGCAGGGTTAGTGGTGCTGCAGCACAGGAATCTCCACCCAGAAAGCAGGTGAAAGATTTTGCTGTCTAAGTGAAAGAGCTCAGTGCAATTTTTTAACAGCTGGCTCCTCCTGTAATGGAATCAGAAAATAAACTTCTCTTACAGTGGGATATGAGCCACGCTGGATCTGCTGGGTTTGGCTTGTGCTGGATGACTCCATCCCGAAGCCCCTGGGGATTTGAATGAACTGGGATTCAGCACTCTGGCTTTGGCTTGTGTCCAATGTTAACAGAGGAAAAGTATTCAGGGGCACCTCATGCAGAACCACCAAGTGAATTCTCCCTTTCTGCTTGCCAGTGTAAACCACAGATGCTGTGTAAAACCAGCACAGGAGCAGGACTGTGCCCAGTTCCACTGGTCAGAGATTTTCTCATTTGCCTTCCTAATGCACAGGAGTCTTGTGCCAGCACTGTGCCACACTGTGGGATTGTGACTGTGACCCCCCTTGTACTGCTAATCCTGTAGGATTGGGGCAATTATCCTGGCTTTTTTTCCTTTTTTCTTTTTTTTTTTTTCCTTTTTTTTTTTCTGCTGAGCCAGATGATTTCTTGGTACAACTGGATTCAAGGGGAAATTTGCATCCTTCCAAACACCACCCCCAAGCGTGCCCCTCTAAACCTTTTGTTCACCGATTTGCTGACCTCTCTAGAGCTGGAATCAGCACCTCGTTTTCCCCTCAAGCATAGCCTGTGAGCAGCCAGCTGATGGTGAGAGTGAGAATCACTGAGGCAAAGTTACCGTGAGGGGATGGAACAAGGCACTAGGACCTAGGAGGCGTCTCATCCACCCTGGCAGGAATTTCTTGCTTGGAGCTCAGACAACAAAGGCAGAGTGAGCCTGGTTTTCTTTCTCTGAGCATCTCCACCCTGCACGCTGAAAACCGGTGAGTAGAGCTTTCCTGAGTGACTTGCATGCAGAAAAGTAACAGAAAGGAGGAATCTTTTCTTGCTGCTTTACAGCATCTGCAGCTCATTTTAAAATCAAAACCCCGGCATCCTCTGATTCATTCCCGAAGTTGCTCGGCTGTTTCATTGTTCAGTGCATGACACCAGGCTGAACCTACCCCGGCTGGCATCGTGGGGGGAACGTTCCCAACTCGGGGTTTCTGTGTGCAATGCCTGCATTGTCATCTGCCTCCCTGCAGCCTGGGGACAATGATTTTTTCTCGCATGGGTCACGCTGACATTGTGAAATACAGGGAAGGAGCTTCATTCCGGCGAGTGTAAAGGGCGGGGATGAGATAGCAACAGCTTTTCCTGGGTTTGTACCTGGCTGCCGAGCGCTGTAAATCCCCTTTCAGCCCTGTGTTAACGTGAGAAATGCATACAAGAGGTGCATGTGCCTGGTGCCGCTGGGGAGAGGAAGGGTCTCGATTGCAGCGTTGTTGGGAGGGGGGTTCCTTCTCCTTTTGTGCTGGGGTTTGGTGCAGGGGAAAGGTTGTTCTCGAGCATGAACTAGAGACAGTGCAGAATTCCTGCTCGCTGGGTGTCAGCTCCAGCCTGGGCTTTGCAGTGCTCAGAACAATGAAAGGTGAGGAGCAGGGTTGGCGTGTCCCTGGGGTACGGGCACTTCCAGCTATTAAATCACTTAGGGCTGCGAGCGGGGGGTGGAAATAGCCCCTTTATTTTCTCCTCCTCATTAAAGGGGAGCGAAAATGCAATTCAGAGGAGGCTCGGGCTGAAAAGAGCTTACCGAAGCTGCGTTTCAATGACAGATTTTTTCTTTGCAGTCATTTCTTCTTGGAGATGTAGGCTGGTCCTGGGAATTGATTGATGGGCTAGGAGGGGGCTGCGGATAGGGGGAAGGGTGGGCTGGATCTCATTGCTAACCCTTATTGAACAGGCTGTCACAAAGAAACTGCTTATTCCCCTGCGACCATTCTTTCATAAATGCCAGTTTATTCTAATGTTAAACATTCAGATGCTCTGGGTCCTTCCGTGATTCGACAGATTGAAGGGCTGACTTACTGGGATCTCCTTGTTTTCTGTTGCCAAAGGAAACCTCACAGGGCTCAGAGGTTTAATTCATTGCCAACTGGTATTCGGATGAGTTTTTTGGGGCTGAGTTGTGATTGCCATGTATCCCTTTGGCCCCAAGTCCCAATTTGTTGCACTTTGAAAACTCCCAGGTGCAGGAGGAGCAGGCAGCTCTCTGGAAGCGTGCTCCCTGCCCCCAGTAGTTGGATCCCTTTCAGAATGCGAGGACCCCTCCTACTCTCAGTCCCCAGAATCGATACAAATCTGGGTCAGGGGAGGGGGCGCTTCCCAAATGCATCTGTCCTGCTCCAGGCACAGCCTTAGCGTGGTTTTGCTCTCCGGATCGCGGCTCTAACCCGTCCCTTTGCCCTCCTTCTCTCCCCATCTCCTTCCTACCCTTCAGCTTCAGATCTTTAGGGCTCACCAAACTATGGAACTTGATTTTGGACACTTTGACGAACGAGACAAGGCGTCCAGAAACATGCGAGGCACACGGATGAACGGCTTGCCCAGCCCCACTCACAGCGCTCACTGTAGCTTCTACAGAACCCGGACCTTACAGGCGCTCAGTAACGAGAAGAAAGCCAAGAAGGTTCGTTTCTATCGCAACGGGGACCGCTACTTCAAGGGGATTGTATACGCCGTGTCCTCCGACCGCTTCCGAAGTTTTGATGCCCTCCTGGCGGACCTGACCCGCTCCCTGTCCGACAACATCAACCTGCCCCAGGGCGTGCGCTACATTTACACCATCGATGGCTCCAGGAAGATCGGCAGCATGGACGAGCTGGAGGAAGGTAACGAGCATCCATCAGCATCCCTTGGTGCAGTGAGGAGGAGGAGGGAGGGATGGGGAGGGGGCTGCAGCACTCGGGGCTGCCCGCAAGGTCACCTTGCTCCGGCTCTGGGGGTGCTGAGCCCCGCTG